GCCAGCAGCCCCCGCCAGCTCTGCGGGCGTCCTTGGGAGGAGGCCCTGCTTTGCTAAGCAGCCAGCGTGTGCAAGCATCGCAGCAGCTGGCTGGCTTCCACAGCCCACCCCGCTTGTGTGGCAGGACACCCAGGGCTTGTGTGGCAGGACATCCAGGGTCGGCTTGCTTTTGTTTACCACCAGTCACTAATGCTTCCCTAGAAACAGGGCAGAACTGGTTTCTCAGGGAAGAAAATGCTGTTCTGGAATCCCTCATGCCTCGAAGACCAAGACCTTCCCTGGCTCTCGCCTTTATGCTTGCAGGTTATCTTCTAGCAGGGCCGTGTCAGAGGCTGCTCTGGACCAGACGTTGGTTCAGATGTCCACAGTGGTGTTTACTGGTCACTTACACAACAGGCATTATATTAAGGATCAGACAGACAGACAGACAGACAATCTCACTGCTGCCCTGAAGGCCAAGTCCCTGTTACACAGATGCGTAAACCCAGGCTCACAGAGCCTCGCAGCTCACCCAAAGGCACACCTTTATTAAATGGCAGAACTGATATCTGAACCCTTTTCCGTGTTATGCTGTTTTTACTCTGTTATGCCAACTGTTATATAGATAAACCAAGGTTATAGCTACCCGTCAGCTTGACATTCAGGTCAATTCAGGAACGATTTCGTGTTTTTTATGTGCCCAGCTTGGGACTGGTAAACCTGGGGGGTAAAAAAGTCTTGTTGGGGAGGATTAACTAATGTTCACACGTTATTAGAGACAGCAGAGCATATAAGATGGCATGTGACAGAAATGACAATAGCTGATATTTAGTGAACACTTATTAAGTGCCAAACACTTGGTAATCACGTTCAAAATCTCACAGTAAACTTGTTTTGCAGATGAGAAAACTGCTGTGTAGAAAGGTTAGGGATGCTGCCCAAATCACACCGCTGCTGGGGCAGAGCTGAATCTGTCCTTTTCAGAATTCTCGCTCAGGACTGTCATCCCGCCACCCCTCTGTGGCTACATAGGTGTTTAAAGCCCCTGACTCTGGGCTCCTGTTATTTTGCTGATTGTTAATGTGTCTGAGACCTACTGCTCTAGTGACATTGCCCCTTGAGAGCAGAGGGTGTATGTATCCCCATGGCAGCTGACGCAGCGCTGGGCACACCGGGGTGCTGAGTAAACACCCAGTGATTGATTAATCCCTGGGACTAAGCCTCAGAATCGGAGGATGGAGGGAGACTTTAAAAGAGGATTTGGAGAGAATGCAAGCAGTTTCCTCTGGGGGCAAAAGCCCGATCCTGTCTACTGGCAGCATAGGGTTCTGTGTGGAGGGAGCACGATGGGAAAGTTTATGTTGCTCTACTAGTAAAAGGAAAAAACCAAAACATTTAACCCTCCCCAGTGCCTGCAGAATAAGTCAGAATAAGACTATTGATGAATAGTTTATTTAGGGTTTGTATTTTCTCTCTCCCATTTCTTTTTTTTAACCTGTGAGATAACTTTATTTTTGTTTATTTTTATTGAAGTATAGTCGGTTTTCAAATTGTGTCAAAGTCTGATGTTCTCCCATTTCTTTGTCTTTTTGTGCTGCCTCCAGAGAGGATCTCTCACTTTGATCTTCCAGGTAATTGATTTTCTCTTCAGCTGTGTCTAGTTTACTACTCAGACCATCTACTGAGATTTTACTTTCTTCCATCATATGTGTCATTTCCAAAATCTTTAGCTGGTTATTCTTCACAACAGCTTATTCTTCACAACAGCTTATTCATGTTTGGCTGAGGTTATGAATCATTCTCCTTTTAAAGTCACTTTAGTCTGCTCTGATAACTCTTTTCTCAGGTTTAATTCTTTGAATGGATGAGTTGGGTTCCTGCCTCCACTTGTCCTGGAGGAGGGTCAGGATGTGCTCCTGGAGGGTGTGGCCATCGTCAGTGGCCTGGGAACAGTTTCCTCTGCTTCCTGGTGTCAGCGGCCACCCGTGCTACCCTGCCGCTCCTGCCCCAGCCTGGGGGACATGCCTCCGTGCCCTGCCCTTCGCACAAGCAGATCCCTCTTCTCTGACCCTTGCCCCAAGGCCTTCTACTGCTCCAGCATCCGTCACCTCTGAACTTGGAGCCCCAAAGCTGCTGCTTTGTCCAGTAGTCCCCTCCTGTGTGTGTTGGGGGCTGTGGTCTCCTCCATCAATCTAGCCCAGACTGTCTTCCATCATCCCCCCTCCTACTCTCTGGTTCTGCAGTACTGTTAGAGATTCGTGGGGTTTGTTTTGTTTGTTTGTTTGTTTGCTCACGACCTCTTCTGTCATTCCCAAGGATTTGGGGTGAAAGCGCGAAGCAGGAGTGTGGGTTTGATTTGTCATCTTAACCACGGTGTCTGATGACCTGCAGCACTTGTAGCTCATGCCACAGGGTCTGGCCCTGGGTTCTTCTCCAGTAGTGTCATTGTGCTAGTTTTTCCTGCCCAGCTGTGAGCTGCTCTGGCCAGGGATCCTATCCTCTATGGGTAATAGAACACGGCACATGGCAGGGCTTGTAGCAGTTGATAAATAAATACTTCTTCGACGACTCTGTGCATTTGCATGTGCTGTTCCTTACTGATGTGCCCTTCCACTCCTTTCCACCTGGTAAACCTCTAATCTTTCAGAACTCCAGCTTAAGTGTCACTGTTGTCACTCTTCTTGGCAGCCTCTGATGATGTTTTTTCCACAGTGGGAGTTGGTTTTCCCTCCCACTGGCTCTCCCAGCACTTTATAACTCGGTTACAGAATTTATCACCTGGCATTGCATTTCATTTTTCTATCTCTCCCCATGAGCTGTGAGCTCCTTGAAGACTGGGTTCTGGACAGCTGCACTCTATCCTCTAGGGCTCTGCTTGTGCCAGTGGGAGGTCTTGTGCACAAGGTAGGGTGACATCCAGCTGGGCTGTGGCCTTGCTCAGCTTCATGGGTCCAAGGCTGGTATCCACAATGCCCTCACGTGACTTACATTGGGGAACACGGTGAGGAAAGTTATCAGACAAACCCCTCTGCTGAAAACAACTTAATATACTGGATTAAATTTAATGTGGTCAGCGTGTCATTCAAGCGCTAAGTAGCTGATGAGATAGTGAGGAATTATCAGCCCAGGTCCAAGAAAGGCAAAATCCAGAGAGGTAGGTGAGAAAGTGGGTTGTGTTTGCCTCAGGTGACCTTGCGCTTTGGGTCTGATGGTGTCCAGGACTGAAGGGAACAGAATTTAGGGCCCGATGGAAGTAAGGGTCTAATAGGAGGTCCCCTCCTCAAAAATCCAAGACCCTCAGCGGACTGCAAGGAAAGGTGTCACCGCACAGAACAGTGCAGGAGGGTAGAAAAGCCTCCATCTAGCTGCCTCTTATGTTTGTAGCTCCAGTTCCCATCACCTAGGTGGTCCACAACACCTGAACGCATGGATTTAATTTCAAGTGGTCCCAGACCGGGAGTGCCCCCTGGTGCCTGGACAAAGCAAATGCATGTCCTCTCTGGAGAAGTCCTGTTCATCCTGGGTCTCAGAGAATAGTCACGGAGAGTTTTCAAGGATGATGAGCATCAAACAATGAAAAAAATCACCAACCACCCAGAGAACCAAGTGAAAACTAAAACAATAGACAACAAAAGTAGACCAATGAAGACTTCAGTTATTTGGATTCCCAGACACAGATTATGATCAACTATGTTTATTTTGTTTAAGGGAAATACCTGTAAAGGACAAGGACCTCTAGAAAGTGACCCAGGATGTTTTAGAAGGAGCCAAATAGAACTTGTAGAAATGGAAAATACAATAAACAAAATTAAAGATGCTGATGGTTAACAGGAGGTTAGAGAGAGGTGAAGACAGGATCAGTGCCCTGGAAGACAGAGCTGAGGAATGACCTGCACACAGCACAGAGAGACTAGGGTCTGATAAAGGATCTCAATCCTGAGAACTTGAGAAGAGGCCACAGCAGACCTAGAATTAGTTTTGAAACAACGGGAACCTTCTGTTTCCATTCAGGAATAAGACCAAAATGCCTGTTATCATAATTTCTTTTCAAGATAGTACTGGAAGTCCTAGCCAGTGCAGAAGGGCTTGGGGGAAAATGCATAAGGACCAGAAAGGGAAAAACCAATGGCTATTATTTCCAGATAATGTGAGCAGGAGCAAAGAAAGTCCAAAAAGAATCTATAAATAAATTATTAAGACTAATAAGAGAATTTAGGAAGACTGATGAACACAATGTGTATTTCAAGCATATTGTTTCATGCAGAAACAAGCAGGTAGAAAGTAAAATTTTATTTTGAAAAAGATAACATCAAGTATCTGGGAACTGGTCTAAAAAGAGACACGCATGCTCTCTGCCGGGAAAATGATAAGACTTCTTAAAAGACACTAGAGAAATCCTAAATGAATGCAGAAATATTCCCTGTTTATAAATCGGAAGACTTATTATTGTAAAGATAACAAGTCCCTCTAAAATGATCTGTATATTAATTTAACCCCAACAAAATCCCCAAGGGGGACAAGCTAACTGCAATACATATACATGGAAGTGCAAAGAACAAGGAGGAGTCCAGGCTTCTAAGCTGTGGTAACTGAGACAGTGGAGCTGGCACGGGACAGGCATAGACCATTGGAAGAGTTTGCTGACAGTAGTGTGATATCTGGGCACCTTGGATTTGGAGGAGGTGCAGCAGAGCAGCGGGCCGGCTGCCAGGCAGCGCTTAGATGGAGATCAAGACCTCCACTCCTAGAGCGAGAGATGGGGGCGTGCTGGCCAGGTAGCTGCTGGGAGGCAGGGAGTCTCTTGGTGTCAGCTTTGTTAGTCACTCCCCTCTCCCAGCCTCAGCTTTCCCCCCATAAAACAGGTGGGTGAACTAGAGAGCAGTGGCTTTCCACTTCCCAGCTCTGGTTTATTTGGTCCCGAGTTGAACTCGGTGGCCACCATCTGTCAGCAGAGAGTCAGAGCAAAGTCAAGCTGCACCACTGACAACCTTCTGATGTCTCTTCCTCTTGTGCTTCTCAAGGTGTCCCCGAAACAGAGCACCGAAGACCACCCAGGGAACAGCAGTGCCTCCTCCGAGTAAGTATGGGGGAAGCACATCCCTGGCAGAAGTCACAGCTACCCTGCCCCCAAGCCTCCCCTCCCCCTCCCCATCCTCTCATCCCGCCCCCGCCCTCACTCGTTCCATCTGTATGCAGTGGCCCATCTGTCAATGCGGCACAGTCCTTATCCTTCAGGAGTTTACAGCCTAGAGGAGTGACAGGGGTGTCCCCCATTGTCTCATCACAGCGATAGCAGGTAAATACACTTAAAATTCCCGGAAAGTGTCAGCTGAGGACCCCAGGCCCAGAGGCCAGGCCTTCTCTGTCTGCACGGCCCTGGGCCTCGTGAGGATTCTGGGGCCCTAGGAGCAGCCAGCACCAGGAGGCTGGGCTGCGATGACCTTGGGCCCTTGGCTTTCTCATCTCTAATGGGGTCACAGTGGTCTGGTCACTGGGATGTAGGTGACTGTGGTGCTTGAGATCATAGGTTTGGAAAGCTGTGAAAATTCTGGCCTGTGGAGGGGAAACAGGGATTCTGGAGCCTTCTGTCTGTAGCTGCTGCTGAAATTCACTTGCTATTTATTCTGCCTGTGCTGGTGGGATGCCTCCTGGAAGCCAGGCCCCAGGCCAGCCTCCGTCTTCCCAATGAGTAGACTGAGCTCCAAGGTGTGATCTGCCCAAAGTCAAAGGGATAGTAAGTTCTAGACACAACAGACAGCACAGATGACTCAGGCCCCATGTAGCACGTGGGTCTGCAGCTCTCTCTTCTGGGAGAGAACTGATCTTTTTTTTTTTTTTTAAATATACGACTTCAGGGATCTCTGACATAGTGAATTATAATTTAAACAATGATCCATTTCTTGACCCTCAGTTCCTTAGTATCCATCCCTCCTTTTTTATGTCGTGCTCCCCTCCTCAAGTAGGGGGAGACCCCATCTGGGTCTCCAGGCTCCCCCAGGGCCGCTGGCAGACACAATGTTGCCTGTCAGACAGGCCAGGGTGGCGTGAAGCCAAATGGAGCCCTGCCTGCTGTGGCTGCAAAGCCAACCAGGGGGCCACTCCTGTCAGCCTCCTTCTCCCAGCCTTGCCCCCTTTACCCAGCTCTCCCCGGTGTCCCATTTGCAGGGAGTGTCGGGTGCCCGGCGAGAAAGGCCTTGCTGAGTCCATGCGGCAGGTGAGGAGGATCTGCTGCAGGCAGGTCACTGTGTGGCCAGGGGCAAGGCATTTCTCCCCGACTACAAAGAGGGGGCTGGCCTGGTGACCCCAGCGGAGCTGTGCAGGCGGCATGTGTCATTCCTGGGCACGCGGAGGTGGAGTCCCACTGTTAGACCCTCATCCTTCCTGTTCGGTGCTGGGGGCCTGTTAGGTTGCACACGCCCCTCGGTGACAGCCCTGTGGCCCAGAGTCCAGCTCCAGCTCTGCATCCCGGGAGAACAGACAGGATCCTGGAGGCTGTTCTCTGAATGTCAGTCGGGAGCATGACGGCAGTGATCAGATGGGCCTAGAGAGCGTCCAGCCCAGCCCCCAGGCTCACACAGCAGCAGGTCTCCGGCTGGCAGGAGGGAGGTCACTGTCCCGTACCTGACAGTGGGCAGCTCTGGCCTAACTCTCCCGACCGTCTCGGGAGCTGCAGGCTTTGCACCCCCTTCAGAGGCAGCCCCTCCAGCTGGTAGCACCCAACTTGGCCCAGGCTCCACACCTGCCCACCTGTCAAAGGTGCTATTGGGGGCCAGGCCAGGGCCAGGCACAGGTTGCCACCGCCATGGGGCAGCCTGAAGGACAGGGAAGTTTGGGGGCACCCTGTGAGCACCACCCCAAAGTCCCAACAAAGTCCAGAAAGCCAGAGAGGAGGTGGGCAGCCAGGTCCAGGCTGGTAGGTACACTGCCTGGAGGGCTGCAGGGTGGCCAGGGTCCCGATGCCCCATCCTGTCCTGTAGCAGAAGCAGATCCCGTGAGACCCCCAAGGGTGCAGGCGCAGGGATACGTCAGGCAAATGGATATCTCAACACAGCTCACTTTGCTGAGGGCTGTGCAGGATGCAAGATTTGGTGTCACATGCTGCACACACATTATCTTATTTATGCCTCAGAATGAACTTAGGAATACAGCCCCACTTAAAAAAAAAAAATTGTCACTGAGCTAGTTCGTGGCAGAGCTGGGATTCAAACGGGGTCTCTCCACCCCAAGGGCCCTCACCCTTACACACTGCAGGCCCTGGCTGCGTTGCAGGGTAAGGTGGATAATGCTGGGGAGATAAAAGCATAGACTCAGGCAAGGGCTGCTCACAGAAGAGACTGAGTGTCCCCAGGGCCAAGGTTTTCAGTTTGGGTACTAGGACGGATCAGAGTTCCATGCAGGGGCCGCAGTGGTTGTCCAGGAGAGATGCTGAGTTGGAAGGTACCATCTTACCTCCTGACACTGTGTCTGTGTTTCTCACCCACAGAGCCCCAGGCAGCTGCTACACAAGGCCCGAGAGGCAGTTGGCCATCACGTATGACCAGTCCGAGGAGGAGCTGATGGCCAGCATCGAGCAGGAGTTCTGCAGCTGAGCCGGGCAGGGCAGCAGCCGCGAGTTACCCCGCAGCCAACGCGCCGCTCCTCCCAGACCCCGCCCCACCTGATGTGGGGCTCTTAGGAACCTGGGCTGGGGGCGCACATCCCCCTGCCCCGCCCGCGGCTCACTGGAGCTGAGCCATCTCCAACATGCAGTTCCTCCCGGATCTTTCACTACTGGCCTTTTCAAATCCAGATTCAGACGGTCCTGCATGTGACTGGCTACTGGCCATCACACTTGCTGGCAAGAGGTGGTCAGCTGTGCAGACCCAGGCCAGAAGGAAGGTGCAGGTGCCGCCCCACAGGTACGTGGGCAGCTGATCTACCAGATCCCTGCCCCCCGCCCTGGTCTCTGCAGAGGGCCTGTCTACAAGGTTCTCCTGGATCTTGAAATGCTTCCCCTTTCTGACGACCCACTCACCACTGGATCCGAAGAAGGCTCATTAGCTGAGTGTGGCTCAGACAGGATGCCCTAGGGCCTCTCACCCACGTCCTGCAGCATCTCAGGAAGCTTCCCCTCTGGAGGGCACACCCAGGAGGTCTGCTCTCCCCAGCTGTAGGGGGTCAACCCCGGTTCTGCAAATGAATTACCAGGAGATGTTGTTGAAGTGCAGATTCTGATTCTGTGGGTCTGGGGCGGGGGCCAGAGAGCCTGCATTTCTAAGCAGCTCCCAGGTGAGACCCCGGCTGCTGGATCCCAGTCTGAGCTTTAAGCCTGGCTGACTCTTCCTTCCCCGACGCTGGAGGCTGCTCAGAGCCACAGCCCACCTACCTCCCCTGAGAGAGGCCCTGCCCCTGCAGTGGGTATGGTGGCATGGGAGCCGGAGACCCCAGTTCTGATCCTCCCTGTCGCACTAACTCGCAGGCACTCTCCTCTCTGGGCCTCAGTTTCCTTCTCTAGAAGGTGAGTCCTGCAGGCTCTTCAGGCGCTCCCATCTCTGGTCATCCAGGATGACACAATCCCAGGCTTCCCTGGTCTCTGCTGTTCGCCCCACCCCCACCCCGGGGCACAGGACTGCCTTCCCTGCTGAGGGTGAGCAGCAGCCCCACTGGGAAAGGGTCTTCAGGGCCACCTGCTCTTCCCACCGGGAGAAGGTAGCAAATCACAGCGTGAGGCAGGAGAGCCTTAAGACATTCTGAGCTGACAAATGAGAAAGCCGGCTAGCCATCCAGTCACGTGAGTCATGCAGGGCCCGAAGGAGAACCGCAGCCTGACTGGAAGGCAGGCTTGTGCCCTGGGCCCAGAGTGGCTGCTCTGGGAAAGCTCAGGGGGGCGAGCAGTCAGAGCATTTGGGAGGCCAGGTCCGCGGAGCAGCTGGTGAGGACGTCGGTACATGGGGGCATGGAGGGGACAGTCGCTTCCCCCCAGCCAGAATAGGTCTCAGCTCGTCTTGTGTTTGCCACCAACATATTGGCCTCCCCGGCATCACCTGCAAATCCAAGAGCATCTCAGAGACCGAGAACCAGCCACTTGGTACTGCTCCCAGACCCACAGGGCTGTGGCCGAAATGGCCACATCATGGCTGTTTTCACGAACCTCTATGACTTGACAAGACTGCCTTTGATCAGAACCACTGCTGGGAGGTTTTAACTTCAGAGTCAGAGCACCTTCCATATCTGAGGGTTCGCTCAGAACCTCCCCAAAGAGAGCTATTTCTCATCTAAGCCCAAACCATTTCTTTTGATATAAAGATTAAAGCCATTACTATTTTAATAATACAATACTTCTTTTAAAAGAAGTTAAAATTTTCTTACCATTAAGTCAGGCCTTGAATTTAATGATGTAAAATGTTTATAATTTTACATCATTAATTTACAGTTACAATTTTCCATCACCAATTTGGTAAAATGGAACATGTTCAGTGAGAAAGACGATACCTTGCACTTTCCAGTGGCAACCTCATAAAACCCGTAATGAGATAAAAGTGTTAAGAAATTCTTTATGTCCTTACAGTCTATGTCATGTCAAGGTGAATGCACTTCATCAAAGCTAAGAAGTCACAGCAGTTGTTCTCAGGTCTTTTTATTTTTATTTTTTTATTCCCTGAATTCAGGAAAAGTGTCTTCTGAGTGGCAGCTCGCCAAATATAGCAGCATGTCCCAGATGTGAAGCGCTGAGGTTCTCTGCCCAGAGATGGAGGGCGGGCTGAGTGTGCTGTGTGTGGGGCGGAGTGCTGGTCCTGGAGGCGGCAGGGCTGGGCCCGGAAGGGCTTCTTGTGCCAAACATGTGCAGAGTGCCTACTGGGTGCTGAGCGCTGCGTCAGGCCGTCTCTTGGTTGCTCAGGGCAACCTTCTGCTCCACAGCTGAGTGTGGAATCCGCTCATAGATGGGGAAGAATGTGGCTGAAATAGAGACAGAAAAGGAATGTCTCCAAGTCAAAAGTGATGATGACACACTGATGTCTGTGCCACAGATGTGTCTCCTAGTTTCTGCGGTGGCGAGTTCCTCTGAGATGCTATGAAGCCCAGGAATTTAGAAAACACGCTCCATTGGTGTCTGTCCTCCTGGAGAAGGAGCCACACCCCGGCCCTCCTGCCACACATGTGTGCCTTCTTAAGCCTTGAATCTCTTGCCCAAGGGGCCCTGCCCCATTCAGGCTCCCTGTCCTCACCTGAGATCAGCTTTTCCAAGATACTCCCCTTTGATGTTCCAAAATCTTGAAGCCACATCTCGCTGGGCTGCTGTTCTGGGCTGTGCTGAGATAGCACCTGTGGGTGGATGCCCCTGGGGTGTGTCGCTTCAACCCACACTCACCTCCTGAGCCCCTGCTGCTGTGAATCCGGCCCCCTGCTACATGCTGGTGTTTGTGTGGCAAGATCTGGTCTCCACCAGTGAGGACGTGCTGTTTCTGGTGGCAGAGGCATACTCGTAAACACTCCAGAGAAGCTAAAGGCTGTCAAAGAAGTGTAGCCAGAAGTTCCATTGAAGATCTAACCTATGTGGAGTGGGGGTGGGGTTCTTTTTCTGGTCCAGCAATAATTAGGCAGGAGAAAAACCTTCTTGGTTGCGTTGGAGAGGGTAAATCACATTCAAGGCTCTGAAGGTCAGTGCTCTCCCCAGAACTAGACCTTGGATGCGGTGCTATCTGGACCCCCTGGAAACAAATCAGACCTTAATAGGTGGGTGGCGCTCAGTTTTCTGGTGTGATGAAACGCTTTAGTTTCCAGAGTTGGAAAGGAAAAGCTGCCTTTTCTGTGAGGTGTGGACCTGGGAAGGAACGGTGACATTTTCAGTCCTCAAGAGATGGATGACATCTGATGGACGCCACATAGAACTGGTGCCTGGGGGTGTGGCTGCAAACGAGACCCAAGGGTGTGTGGTTTCGTGTGGCACTGGGCAGTCATTCCAAGATCCAGGCCGCCACCAAAATCAGGGGCCTGTGGTCGGCTGTCAGTGACACCATGTTGGCAGCAAGAAACACACGGCAGGAGGTCGGCAGGTGCAAAGATCCCAGCTTGGGCTAAGCCAGAGAGGTTTAGGACAATTTGCAGGCAAGGGGAGAAACTGCAGAGGGAGGGGCTGACTTTCTTACTAATCTGGTGAGGAGAAGATTTGAGTGAAAGATAAAAATAATAATGACCTTAGTAGCACAGGTTACAGAAACATTCCTTTTTGTTTTAAAGTTTACGCAACATCTACTCGAAGAGGGCTGGCTCCATGCCAGGCCTGTACCAGGCGGGCCCTGGGGTTTAAAATAAATATGCGATGGGAATGAGAGCAGAGTGCGGTGGAACAGTTATGCCCGCGCCTCTCCAGGAAGCCGTCGCCGCCATTGGGATTCCCGCGTCCTCGCTGCTCCTCGTCCTGGGAAAGCATGGGTGGCAGGGGCCGGGCTCCCTAGGGAGGCCCTGCCGCTTCTCCCTGAAGCTAGAGAGGGAGGAGTGAACCGGCCGGCCGGCTGGGTCCCGGGAGCCGCCTCGTCTGCGCAGTGGGCAAAGGAGCCTCTTCTTTCTCCGCCCCCGGGTGCTGGGAGGCCTCAAGGACAAACGGTGGGTGGAAACTGTGCGCCGGCTGAGCCCACGCGGATGAGAAGTGAGTGGGTCACAGGGAAGGCGAACCCCGCGGGCCGTTGCAGGCACTGGGAGCCGGCGTGCGCTACTGCGCGGGAAGGGGGCGGGGGGGGCCGGGCAGCCACAGGACTCTGGGCATTTTGTGTCTGGGCAGCACCCCAGACACAAATGGGGACCCTGGCTTCGCGCCCCGCCCCATTTGCTGGCAGGGATTTTCCTTGCAGCCCCTACAGAGATAGGATCCCCAGGGGCGTTTCCGGGGTTCCGTCGATCGCCGGGGAACCGAGCTCAGCTGCGCCGTCTCGAGGCCGACTGCAGGCCTCCAGGCCCGCGGAGCAGACTCTTGCTTTGAGGGCCCGCGCAGCTGCCAAAGCCAAGGTCCGGGCTCCGTGGGGACCCGAGGTGTGTACATGGACATTCTAACCCCCGCGTGGGACTTCAGTAGGGGTGTCCCTCAGCAAAACCGCCTGAGTACCTCCTGTCATAGTTCTTTTAATTCCCACAGAGCCCTCTCCCCTGGGTTCCAACGCCGAGCCAGGTGGGCACGGCGCCGGGACCCTGCACACCGAGCCCGAGGCACAGCCACTGCCCTAGCCCTGCGCGTGCTACCTCAGCGCTTTCTCGAGCAGCCTTATTCTCAAGAGCACGGATCTAATAACCGTCTCGGGTCGCCCTTTGAGAATTCATGTTAAGTGATGACTCCTCAGCCCAGAGTAAGGACACACGCCCCTGTGCACACAATTTGCCTTCGGTTTTAGGGTGTTCCCCTCCCTCCAGGCGCCCCCCTGTAGACCTCCAGGGTTCTCTGGGCTGTTCTCTCTTCCTTGGCACTCTGCCCCGTGACCCTTGCCACCTTGGCATTCGTGCACCCTCACTGCCATCTCTTCCACTAGGGGACTCGAGTTCCGCCTGAGTTCCTCCTCCCTGCATCACAACCTGGAATCTTCCTCAAGGCGGCAAACTGGGTTCACTCCCCTTATTTCCTATCTCTCAGGGTCACTGTCTTTCATGACCCAAGGTCCAGTTCCTGGAAAACTCCTTTCATACATTTTGTCTGGTGGTTATTTTGAGAGTGAGATTATATTCAGTTCCTGTTACTCCATCTTGGGCAGAAGTGGAATTCGTATTTTAATGTTTAAACTGCCACAACTTGGCCAGTGGGAGTTCCTTTGAATGACCTCTTTACCATTTAGCACAGGCCCTGACACTCTTGAAGGCAGCTGGCAACACGAGAATACTCTAAGCCTGTTCTGTTATTTCTGTGCCCAAAGACAGCTACCCTTCAAGTAGATTTTTGTTCGAAAACAACTAAGGTTTTCTTCTACATACAAAATGAAAGTGCCAGGCTCTGAGATAGGATAGGCACATTACTCTATGTAATCCTCATTTCAGAAATGAGGAAACTAAAAGTAGAGCTCATTTCTCAGCAACACGTAGCTAAATGGAGTCAGATCTGCACCCAGTCCTGTCTCAGGCCAAATCCACACTACTTATCAAAGCTACCTGCCAGGAGTCTGGTAGACCTTCCCTGGGCCTTCCTCTGGACTCCTTCAAGACTAGAGGTTTTTAATTAACTTTTTTGTTTGTTTGTTTGTTTGTTGGAGGGAGGTAATTAGATTTATTTTTTTAATGGAAATATTGGGGGTTGAACCCAGGACCTCATGCATGCGAAGCACACACTCTACCACTTGAGCTATACCTTTCCCCAAGATTAGAGGTTTTGATCACTACTAGTTACTTGCTTCATTTTATTGAACTCTATTGCAAGTCTGATCCACTTGCTAAAATGTAAGCTCACCCATAACAGGAATCATATCACATCCATCCATCCACCCACCCACCCATTTATATATATATAAAATAAAATATATAATATGTACAGAATGGAATACTACCTCAGCCATAAAAAAGAATAAAATAATGCCATTTGCAGCAATGTGGACCTGGAGATTGTCATTCTAAGTGAAGGAAGCCAGAAAGAGAAAGAAAAATGTCATATGATATCACTTATATGTGGAGTCTAAAAAAAAGGACACAAATGAACTTCTTAAACAAACAAAGAAAAGAACATGCTGAAAAGAAACCTGTTTGCAGAGCCAGCTCAAGACAATCCTGGGACCCACTAGGCTTCTAGGGAGTGTTGAGAAACCTTTGGGAACAAGCCTCCCTAACTTTGAGTGGACTGAGCGGGTCTCATCCCACTAGGGTATGGTGTCCCTGGTGCCTGGACTTCCTCCCAGGATGGGGCCCATGTGTAAGATACATGTCTCAATTCCCTCATTTTAAGAGTCCCTAAACAAAAGGAGCAAGTTGAAATTAAAGCAACAGTGGCTATTACAGCCAGAAAGTAGAACCTTAGGGACACAGAGGACAGCAGGTAAAGTCACAAAGCTGAGGGTAGCAGGCATGTGGCCACCACCCAGAAGCAAAGGGATTTGGAATTGGAGAGACTTTTCTAGGTGGAGTGCTAAATGCAAAGCCCGTTGTGATCCTTTACCCCCCACACAATTGTGCACACACATGCACACCCATGACCAGGACTAGTGTGGTCTATGGAATCACATTCCAGGATGAGTGGTTTTGGAAGGCAGTGAGCCAACAAGACTGTGACAGATTGGATATGGAGTGAGAAAGGAGCCCAGGATGACTCCAAGATTTTGCACTTGAACAGCTAAAAGGATGGCCTTGCTGTTCTTTTCAGACAATGGGGTCAGCTGTGGGAAAAGCAAGCATGGGCAAGAAGATGAGGAGCTTGGGCAAAGTCTGGGACACTGAATAGATGGGTGTCAAGCAGACAGATGGAAACAGGAATCTGAAGCCCAGGTGAGAAGAGCGAAGGAGAGACATGCATGCAGGTAGAGATGTGATTTTTATCTAAGTCACAAGGGTGGAAAAGATCACCCAGGTTGTGAGGGCAGTAGGAGAGGAGTCAGGGAGAGGAGGGGGACCAGCAAAGGAGCAGGGAGGTAGGAGAGCAGGAGAGTGTGGCCTGCGGGGGAGCTAACAACCCTGTCCGTGCTGCTGGACAGGCCAGATGAGGACTGAGGACCGAGCCCACGGAAGTGCCTAGGCTCCAACAGCCGCAGGGGCTCGTCTAGTGGGGTGTGGACACACAGCCCCAGCCAGAGTGGGTTCCAGAGAGGACGTACTCCAGGAGCAGGAGTGAAGACCACGGCTCCGGGACGTACTTTTAGAGCCTGGGCTGGGAGCAGGGGAAGGGGATGCCTCCCACTCCACCTCCCAGCACAGGAAGAGTATGAGGATGAGGGTCACGGGTCACAGCACCCACGGTCCTGTTCTGCCAAGACCAGTCCCAGCATCAGAGTGGCCAACACAGAAGCAGACTCTTCACACATTTCTTTCAGAAAGAACCCTCCAAAGAATCTTAAGGGCATCCTGAAAGCAGAACAGAACCCCAGAAACCAAAGAGGAAGGTCAGGTTGGGCCAATATACAATTTCATAGATTTTTCTGAAAAGCCACTGGGTATACTGTAGTCCAGTTACATGACACAGAATACAGTCTAGTTTGCAAATCAAAAATGTTTTTATATGATTCAAAGAAAAAAGTTACATCGCACATATTCATTTAAATAAGTCAAAGTCTGTTACATAAAACATAATTCTGAAACACTTAAAATTTTATTACTGAAACTACTTAGAAGGCTCAAAGTCAAAAGAGATCAAGCAAAATTGCTCAGGCAGTAAAGTGCACTGGGGAAGTGCCCTCCTCTGACAGCCGGGCCGCAGCGGAGGGACTCTACACTGAACACACACCACAGGCGCTGGTTCTCCAACTGCATTTTTCAGATGAAGCTGTTTCCCAACTTACAGTTTTTCAATCGACAAACAGAGGGCCAAAAACTGTTGTTTACAGAAGGTACTTCGAAATCTCATCAGGAAATGGAAGTATAAATCAAAACTTTTTTTAAAAACACATCTATTGTTTGGAAACTAACTACATTGCTCAGAGAATGAAGTTCAACGTGACAAGCAACCAAATACTCAAAGACGTTGTATTATCCACCAGAACATTAGTAGGATTAACGTTATTTTGTATAACTAAGAGAAATATCCCATTTAATGCCATTTACAGCATACACACAGAAATGTTTATGCTGATTTAAGATACGAGTAGTGGGAGGAAGGACTGGGTGGTGGGGAAACACAAACTATGTACATTTAATTACAGTTCTTTTGTAACTGTAGTATGTCTCATGACCAGGAGGAATACTCAACTACAGAAGTGTCCAAAGACATGGAAGCCTCCTAAACACACAGCCCTCACCTACAGACCTGTCACTTAGCGGCTGATACTAGAGGGTAATTTAAAGGGTGTCAAGTAACATACAGTGAACGACCAGGAGAGCGTTCTCAGACTAAAGGAAGGCCTGAACACAAAACCTAATTATATTTATTCAGTATTTCACCTTACCATCGTTTTAATAAAGGTAAATGCCAATAACTAAGAGCCAAAGACAGAATCTAAATACATATGGCACAACAAAAACCATTTGCAGGCTCCAAGAGCAGAGCAACATCCCCACATTCCTTACATGTGTTCTGTTGCTGGATTCCCAACACTGCCCAACAAAAGCAAGCTCGTGGCCTCCCGGACCCGGGGCGCAGTCTCTGTAATGCTCAGACCTGTGCTCACACAGCTTCACAGTGACGCCCATGGTCTGCTTTCTAGGCAGACTGCAGAACACCCCACTCCCAAGTAATTCTCCATTTGATCAAAACAATTTCCTTCAAATAAAATGAATGAAAGGACAGCTGGGCAGTATTACTGCCATTTAGTGTAGCTTGCATTTCCCATAGTTCTTAATACTTAATAAAGAAATCAGAACACTGGAGCTGCACCATCTGCACGTGCCCCCACCTCAGATAAGCTGTACTTTGGTGGGAAGTTCCTCCAAATACTAAGGACATTTCCTTTTTCTCTAGGAAGTTACTTTACCCACAAAATACTTGGATAAGGCCACAGCAAAAGAAGTCAAACTGACAACAAACAAAGCAGCTGAGTTTGAGTGCGTACATCACCTTTTTTGGTGTTTGAGGTACAAATGAGACTGTGAACGGTGTGCTCGCGGCAGAACAGACACTCAGATCCTACGGCAGCTCTCTGCTCACCGGGTATCTATTGAGTATTTTAAGTTATCCTCTGGAGTACATTCCTCACAAGTCACACCACAGACACGGGTGACTAAGTTCTACTTAACCAAAATTTTAATTCCTTGGGCTACAGCCTTAAAGGAACGGTTGCTTGGTATTTCTCTTGAAAATGTTATGAAGAAGCTGACTATAAAATTTTTTTTCCTCTCCCATTTATTTAAGAGGCCCCTGCTCAACCAGTTCTGATTCTAGAAAATTCTTAGATCTAAAAGGCCTAATTACAAAGTTGTAAATTTTTTTGGCTAAATAATATTCCAACTTTTGTACTAAAAGTAAGGGTATAATTAAAATGTTAAATACTGAAAAGACTGTAAAATCATCTATCTAGAAATTAGTGATTTGAGCACCAATAAAAATTTTTTATAAAAAACAGTATAAAAATTAGTACCCTGTCACGTTTCTACAAAACATGAATAGAAAGGTTGTAAAAATCCCGATTTTGTAAGATTTATTGCCGAAATGTTTGTTTGAATGCTGGTGACTTAGCTTATCAACTTTCCTTCCATTTCCTTAAAAGAACTTCTGAAACTGCAAAAGATACTGAACAGGGTCCCAACCAAGAAAACAAGTCAACATGCCTTCATCAGAACCAGCTCTCTACCTTCCCCTAGCCCTCAAGACTTTTTATTTTGGAGAGAAAATCATCAGTTCCATTCCTGAAAGCAGGCTTTTACAAATTTCCATCCGCAATTCCCTGGCAGACCCGTCACGCAGACGCTGGCATGCGCACCAGCGGGCTCCCAGGCTTCTCCGCTGAAGCAATTCTGTTGAGTTTGCCGACCTCCGCCTGCCAGCCAGGGATCTTCTTGGTTGTCATGTGGCGCCGGGCATGCTTTGTCAGGTGGTCGCTGCGCATGAAACGCCGATCACACACTGGGCACACAAACTTCTTCTCCCCAGTGTGAGTTCTGCGGTGGCGAGAGAGTTCATCTGAGCGAGCAAATTTTTTATCACAGCCATCCCAGCTACAGCTGAAAGGCTTCTCTCCTAAGAGGTGAGAAAACACATACTAGAGAAAATATAAATGCTCAGCAGGTTCATTTATGTCATTTAAAAATTTTGCTCATCAAGACCTAAGGAAAAAGTAATATCCTATTCTGGAATCAGGTTATCTGGAAGTCAAGTAATTGTCCAAGATGCATTTCTTCCTGCCACTCCCAAGATGTAGTATGTCAGGGCTCAACAATGTCAAACTCATCTAGTTATTCCAAAGATTTTTTAAATAAAGGTAAGTCTTCAACGGTTAACTGGAGGAAGATTCTTAAAAGGAATAATTCCTTCCCTCTCAGGAAGCTGCACATCTAAAAACAAATCCCTCCCAGGACCTACAAGACTTCTCAGAATCATTAATGCCATCTTCATATTTGTTATTACACTGACAAAGAGGTTAACTACAGAATGAATTAGAATTCTAATAACCACCTTCTTGTAGTTACAAGCCTCAAGTGTCTTTGTTCAAAGTTTCAGCGCACTTGGAAGGTGTCTCATACTGTCTTCCTGGAGGTGAGTGAGGGAGCCCTTGTCCGCAGGTAACAGTGTGGCCCTTCCCCTGAGTCCTCCTGGACCCTTCCAGCCAGCAGGAGTGCTCCCTTTCCTAGAAGCCCCTATCTTGACCAGGTTGTGACAATCACACACTGCTGTGCAACCTCATAAATGGATGTGTTCAACGCTGTTACGGGCTGTTACATGACCTACCTTCCTGAAGATTTATGACTTGCCTAGTTCATCCATCTCTGTACAGTTTAGCTCCCAGCACAGCACTTTGTATGACAGGTGGCGAATAAATGGTTTTGAATGAATGATGATGAGACATCAGTTAAATATATCATGTTTTTCAAAGTTGAATTAGCAGGAAAATTCAGCATCACAATGGCTTTTTATGAACGATTCTAAGAAAAAAGGCCTCAACTTCATGGGCTTTCAAAGATCTCATGCTATAAGCATAAGGTTACCTGTTTTCAGGAAACCACCACCACTGCTGTCAGCATACTGGATGGCCAGAGGGTGGACAGAGAACAACCACCCTTTGGCATAGGATTTATAAAAACATGAGCCTTTGCTCACTCTACCTTATACTAATTTTAAAAATTTTCAGCTTAGACTGAAAAACCATCTTATCTAAGGTAAACTCACCCAAGGTTTCTATATCTTATGAAAACTCCAATTTAGTGTTTACAAAATGCCACAAGAAGTTGATTCTTCAGAACTTTTATGGTTACTTAAGTATATTGGGAAACCTGAAGCCCTATTTTATGCCACCCTGCCAGTATTTCTACCAAGGGAAACTGAATAAACAGTAATATCTCATTCCATTGCCTCCCCAAATGCATAATCTGTGTTTGGATGTGATCTGAAGTTCACCTCAGTAGTCTCTGAAGAGTTTGCGAAGTCAATGAGCCCTTCAGAGGTGCCGGTTCACACCAATACAGCCATGACAGCTACCCTGTAGCACCAATGACCAATCATCATTCACTAGTGCCAGGCTCTTAGGTCAGACACCAAGAATTTATATCCAGTGAGATCAAGTATATAAGTAACTAAAAAAAACAGAGGGAGAATGTGGTGAGAAACGTAACAAACCCCTAGGGTCAAATAAGGAAGGAGAGATCAGAAAATACTTCTAAGAAAGGCCCTTAAGCGGTTTTCAGTAAATAAGAGGTAGTCAGAGAGCAGAGAGTGAAGGGGAGAGATGTGGACGTGGAGAGCAAAGGTAAAGGCAGAGAAGCAAGTTCTTCACCCGCCAGGCCTGGGGCCTCATCCCTGAAGCAGACAGCCCACTCCGTAGCGTAGAGGGCAGCAGAGCGCCTTTTGTTCAGCCTACGTTCCAGACCCTGCTTCATTCCGCAAGCGGAAGCTGCCACAACAGAATTTTAATACGCTAATTAGAACCACTCTACCTCAAATGCATCTTGGAGTAAAGTACCACAATGACTCCCTCCAGTTCAGCCTTTCCCAAACAGCTGACAACATTCCCTGTTGTCCCGCAGGCCATCAGCAGACATTCTGGTGAAAAGGGTTCCACGATGGAGAGAGTTTATGAACCACGTCTTTACTGCGGAACCCGCGACCTGTTGCTGTGCTTGTATGTACATATGTGCGTGAACCTTTCGAAGGTGAGTTTAACAAGCAGACTATTTAACTACGGGACTTTTGAAAACAAAACAAAATGACTGCCACTAACTCAAAGGACAAGAGAGCTACAGAACACCTGAGACACTGCCCCAAGCAACTAAAGCAGAAGTTCTATCTACCAGGCAACCTCACCTCCGTTAAACAACATGGTAGCCACCAGCCCCTTGTAGCTGTACAAATGCAAACTTAATGAAAATGTAAAATTTAGCTCCTCAGACACACTGTTCACACTTCAAGTGTGTGTGGCTAGTGGCTACCCTCTTACTGGACAGATAGAGAGCATTTCCATCACTACAGAAAATTCTAGGAACCCAATGAGGTAACAAAGAGATCACTAAGTCACTATAGTTACTTTCTTTTGTGACTTCTCAATTAGACACTATCCATTCCCAAAAGTAAAAAATATTCCTTTAAAGTGCAAACAGTCTAGAATTCAAACTTCTCCATACTTTAGAAAGCTCTTTCCCTATAGTAAAACTAAGTAAATCACCTTGATAAGATGTTTATCCAGTGTGAACGCACATTTTCTAAAATGCAAATAAAAAATGAGACGTCTACTGCAGTAAGAGGCAGCGAGAGCCTCACTCTAAAGCCCATCAAGGATCACAGTCACAGAACGGTACTGTATTTATCTACTGGCTGAGCAGATGGATGGCCTGTTCTAGGAAAACCACTGGTGGCTGTACTAATGTTAATCCCAAGACTATGAAAGCTTTTCAGAATCAAAGAAAAAAGGCCACCTTCTCCAGTGGTCCTCATGCCTTGATCCCAAAGGCGGCTTGATGTGTGTTTCCTTCCCAATGCCCGACCTGCCTCAGGACTCACCTGTGTGAGTGCGGAGATGAGCCTTGAGGTGGGAACTTTTGAAGTAGGTCTTCCGGCAGCCTGGGAAGTTGCAAACATAGTTCCTCCTTCGGGAAAAGTCTACCTGAGGGGCACAGTTTTGACTGGATGCAATGAACACTGGAGCAGGGGCAAGGGGCAAGAACTTGGTATTTCCAACAGCCATTACACTCGATGAACACGTGGCAGGCTGGGGGAGGGCCCCCTGGGGCAGAACCAGCATCACAGTTCCCTGAGGCACAGATGGTCCCACAAACACAGGCTGGGGCACTGGAGCAGCGTGGGGTAAGATGGGTTTGACAGTCCCTGCAGACACTTGGGGGGGTGGCTTCAAAAAAGCTGGTAACATGCCACTTTGTCCAGTCACAGGGATCATTTGGCAAAGGACAGGGGGACTAGGAATGGGGACAGAAATCAGAGGGGTGGCTTTCCTTGGCAAGTCATTTTCATAATTCTTTGGTGAGCAGGACTGAATTGCAACAGGCCACCCTACCTCCTGCTGGCCTTTATCAGCAGGGATCAGGCCACCAGACTTGTATGAGCAAGGCTGACAAGACACTGAGTTAACTTTGAGCAAACTGTCTGTGAGGTGTGTGTCCTGCAAAGCTTCAGTACATCTTGGAATCTGTGCTTCTACTTCTCTGTTGGCTGAAAGTTGGTATTCTTGAGTCTGGGTGGTAGGAACGTGGGCAGGAGAAGGACTCCCCCCAGTGTGGCAAATGACACTTGTCACCATGGCCCTGCAGTGAGAGCTGGCAGCTGGCTCCAGCAGCTCTGGCTTCATACCAGGCAGGCCCCTCTCTGCCCTCCTGCTCAGCACTCTGGCTGCCCCAGTAGAGGCTGGGGGGATGGCCACGACCACGGGTGCTTTGGAATCAGTTACTTGGGAAGGAACAAGTGTTCCTGTCGATGGCTCCACGAGGTCAGGACTCTGAGGAGGAGTCATGCACTTAAAAAAAAAAAAAGTACTGTGTGAAAAGGTTGTTTTGGTTAAATTTTAAGGAACTTACTTTGATCATGTTGCCCCCAAAGGCTTCACAAAGAAGTATCTAGAAAAGGCTGTTTGAAGTCTGCTCACAAGAGCAACCAGTGGCTGTAAAGGAGGCATGAGGTACTTTATTTTCTTGCTTTCTCCCTCCTTCCCAGCCTCTCCCAAACTGACCCATCTGCTCGGTCATAAGGATGTCAGTGCTGTTCCTGGGCTTGCACAGCTACTGAAAGGAGCAATTTCAAGTATTAGGATGACAAATGAGAAAACAAATTCATATTAAAAATGAGAGCTCTACACAATAATTTTAGCGTCTCAAAAACTTTTTAAAATTTAACACATACTTACCCAATCACACACATCCAGTTCCTACTGGATGCAAGATAAAATCTATCAGAATGATCCCCGAAAGGCCATGCTCTAACCAGGGGTTCTACCTAAACCAAGCCTCTCTTTGCACCCCACCCCCAGCAACTTTCACTTACTTTGGGCCTCCCCACAGAAGAGCTCAATGCAAAGAAACTCTGAGAGGTGCTCCCGGCAGCCAGGATTACTACTTGGACAACCCTCTCCACTGCCCACAAGTCCCTTCTCATCCCTCTCCAAGTCAGTTTTCCAAACTCTCCTTCCAGTGCAAGCTTCCAGCCAAGGACAATTAGATTATAGCTTTCAGTTTAGTTAACAATTTACAGCTTTCAACTTCTCCAAGCTGAGAAGCAATTTCTCCCAGTAACTTCATAGCTGTAGCAAGTTAAGAAAACAAAAACAAAAAAACAGTGCTTGACTGCACCAAACTCACACAAGAAAGAAGTTGGCCACCACAGGGAGGCAGAGAGGCCAGGATTTCAACCCAGCTAATGAAGGCTGTCAGGTGCCAAAGTATAGGCCTTCTCCAGCTGCTACCCACAGGTCTGATCCTGGACTGGGGTACCTAAGCCATCACCCTAAGCTCCCCAGGGAAATGAGTATATTTTGCTTTCTGGAATCAATCTGTAAGTTTCAGCCTATGGATATTTTAATCCTGTGGCTGCATCTATCAATGGGAAAGCACATTTTCAAGACATGTTTTCATCCTTAGGACCCACACGGGGGATAGTATGAACCTGCTTGCCAGCATCCCAGGGAATCCACCCAGGAATTCTTCAGCACATTTATTGAAGGTACTCTAGCACAAAACCCATTCCTCTCCCCACCCCTTACCAAAGTTGATAAGGAATGGAAGTCTTTTGGTAGCTCAGGTGCAGCTGCGTCTATGTGCACAGTGGTGGTGACATCCCCAGAGTCAGAGACAGGTGTGAGGGGTCTTATCTTTAAAAGGTCCCCTTTCTGGGCTCTCTGACCCCAGGAGCTCATGCAAACAAGAGCTTCGACAGCTTCCATGTCGTTCTGCTCCAAGATGCTGCATGTAGACCTCTCACTGTCATGCCGCTTCCTCTCCAGGATTGACTCACATATGTCCATGATGTCAACCTAAAGGAGACACAACACAGCAGCTTCTCAGCCCCGGGAAACAGACAAGGAACCCTGACGGACACGCGGGCACGCACACCAGCAGCCTGCCCCGCGCACGCCCGCACTGCCCGCCTCCAGCCGCTTGCGCACGCGCTCTGGCTTCTAGGGAAGGAAGCCTGCGGAGCACGGAGGTCCACTTGGCTCTGAAGCCAGCTTTCTGTGGAGGGAAGGAGTTGGGATGCAGTCGGCCGGCCAGCGGCTTCCACAGAAAACTCTGATTCGTAACAAAGGTTATCAAGTTTATGTTTTTCTTCGGGAAATGATTAATAAGACTTGTTTCCTGAGGCGTGAACCAAACTGGCTAGTGCCAAACGGGCCCTGGGGAGGAGGAACGATACTGATGGCTCAGGCTGAGGTTGGGCGAGATGAGAGAGCGGCCCTTCAGAGTCGTGAAGCCACCGGAGTGTCCCTCAAGATGCATTTGCGGCAACTCTGGAGCATCCATATCAGTCAGGGCATCCCTCAGCAGAGCTCCAGGAGGGAGAGCCCGCGCTGGTTCAGCCCTGGTCCCCACACCCAGGAGCACCAAGTCAGTCAAGGCCACCAGGACAGCACGGGGAGAGGAAGAAACTGTAAGATCTCGCCACAAGTCCTGGACCCGAGGGCTTCCCGGCGCAGTACCCTTGTCTCTTCTTAAGCGCGAGGGAGATGGGAAGCGACTAGAACTAGCTGATCTCTTTCCAGAGAAACTTTACATCTATGAAGATACATACTTACACTCAGTTTGTTTAAGCATCCAACCTGACTTACCCAGGTTACCCCCAGGGCACACAGGTAAGGCCACCACCTTTACAAATGCCACTCTGGCCCCGCTTCTGCCCGCAGCCCGGCCTCGAAAAGAACTGTGAAGTCACAGACATGGGCTGCCGCCTGCTCCACCCCACAGCGGGGGAGGGACGCGGCGGCGCGGGGCTCCCAGTCCTTTCAGCCCCTCAGCCGTCCAGTGGCTCGACAACCAGGTCCCAGGTCCCAGGTCCCAGGTCCAGCCAGAGAACTTCCCGCCGCTCTGAGGCCCGTACTGGAGCCAGCCGGGTGGAGGCGTCCCACTCCGCCCACCGCGTGCAGTCTTCCCGCCAGCTTTTGCCCCGCCCCGCGTTCCCGCTAGCTTTTGCTCCGCCCCTCGCCCCGCCCCCGCGCTGCGTTCCCACAGCCCTCTCCACGCCCTTCACGTTCCCGCCAGCTTTTGCCCCACCCCCTAGCTCTCCGCTGACGCGCGCCGCGTTCCCACAGTCCTTGCCCCTCCGCCTTTGCCCCGCCCCCGCCGCCCGCGTGCCGCGTTCCCGCCAGCCGTGCCCCGCCCAATGGCCGCCTCCGCACAGGGCCTGGTGACGTCA